TTAGAGGAACCGTCTGGGATCCTCAGATGAGCAAAATGTAGCACAAACCTCCTAATATAGACTGCTCCAAAGACACTGTTTGACACATAATAATAAAACTTCATTTGCTGTTTACTTTTTTCTGTACAGTCTGATACAGACTAGATAGGAGAAAGGCAATGAACTAGCAGGAAACAAAAGTGGATCCACCAATCAATTGGAAGAAACCGAAATTTCACTGTGATTCCTGTAGCATTCACTTGTAAAGACAAGTAAAATCCCCGTGGCTTTCATCTAATGTATGAAACGAAAACCAGAATGCAGCCAGTCAGCTTTTACCCATCCATTACAAGCATGATGCCAAAAGGAAGCACTCCATGTGGAAAACGAGGGACATCACCAACATTTAGGAGATGAGAGAAAGGGCTTGGCTGCTGGCCTCAGAGAGCTTACAGTCTATTTACAAAAGAAAGAATTGTGAAGGGAATCCCAAAGTTAAACTGAACCCAAAGAATATATACGCAATAAATATTGTTAAGTGAGTCAAGCTGCTCTCAATGGTTACCAGGGATTCCCAGCTGCGCCCTACACAAGAGCCATCAGACCACAGTGATTTTATGCAAGGGCTTTAACGCCAGGTGGACATGAATTTAAACCCCAACCATGCCGCTTACTGGCTACATAATTTTGGACATGAAGGTAGCCTCTCAAAACTCATCTATAAAATATATGTGATAATTTCTTATGAAGCGAAATTAATTAGATTAAGATATATAAAATAACTGGGTTGTATACCCAGCATGTAATAAGTATCCAAAAGGTTTTAAATTAAAAGAAAAAAGCCAAGATATGAGCTCATGTGCCCACTGGAAACAAACAGTGCTGCAGACTGACATGGCAACAGATAACTTGCTTTGGCACATGGTGGGAGGTCACGTTCTGGAACTTAAAAACACTGCCCTCTCTGCAGTAAGCCACATATCTGGTTCTTGTGTGGACTGGCTAGAAAGTGAGCCAAAGAGAATTAAGAAAACTGACCCCTTCACCAAAAACTCAGTTTTCCCATTCTCTTCTAGAATATATACCCCGAACCTTGCCCTTTCTTTTTACTAGGTGGAGTCTCCATTCCATCTTCCACCATGACATCACGTCAGCATTGCTCTCCTTCCTATACTAAATCTGGACAGTAAATGGCATCACCCTGTCACGGGGGTACGGAGAGCGTCTGCAACGCCCCATTTAACTGCTCTGTGCTCCTATCTTCGGGCCTCATTAGCATATTTCAGCAGTGTCTTGATGGATGAAGATGGATGGGGCAACATCATCCTTGGTGAAATCACTGTTTCATCAAGGTTAAACCAGCCTCAAGCTTCGCCACCTCCCTTTGTTTGGCTAGGTTTCTAATAACAAAATTAACGGCAGAATTAATGCCCAGGAGGCTCCCAGTGAAATATACTGATGCCCTCAGAATGAAGCTTTATCCTGGACCTCCCAGTTTATAATCCATCAATCAGTTGCTTCCATACTTTATCTTAAAATAAAACATCACCTCCATCACAGCAGACGCCAGCTTCTCTATCCTTTCATCTGAAACAACTGGGCTGGGTAAAAGAAGAAGAGATGGCTCATCACCTTAGAATGATCCTAGTGAGCCCAGTCCAAGCAGAGAGCAGAGACTGTGTATGTCTCCAGAACTAGACTGTGAGCTCCTTGAAGGCAGGCAGTTTGTGTTCTATTTCCTTTTAACATCTCATTTTCTATTTTTCTGTGAGGCAAAGAGCACATGTTGACTAAGTCCTTGCTGATATTAAGGGAACTACATTCACCATAATAAAAAAAAAACACCTAATCAAATAAATAAATGCATACTGAACACTTACTGTCTACCGGAGACTTCATGGGGCCAGGTTATGGTGCTATCCTAGGCTTCAGGACCTTAGGTGCCCTGACAAGTTTCAACAACACTCCTAAAGAACATGGTCTCCTAATCAACCACTGAGACACACCTGGATGCTTCTCCATATGAAAATGAAGAACCTCTGAATGTCCTGGTCTGAGACCAAACTGAGAAATAAAGTCAGCGAGAGCGGTGAAATATCTGGGGTCACATCTAGGTTCTATTTTAGTTCCATTTCCCGTTAATAGTTGCATCCCCTTGGCAAGACACTTCCACTCGCTGGGACTCAGTCTCTACCAAGAAGAATAAGCCTGTACTTGGTTCCATCAGTTCTGAAATGGGGTCACAACAAACTCTGCACGTGTACCTTCTTAGAGCTGGCGATGGAAATGTGGAAATGCATGCGAGTCCCCTGAAAAATAGGCAGCATGGAAATAAACAGCACTAGAGATGGGGCTTATCCTGTGAAAGCAGAACATTGCTAACCTGGACGTTCACATAATTCGCTTTAACAAAATGCAGGAGGAAGAAAAAACACAACACAACGAAAGAACCAGCAGAAAGCAGTAAGCATGTTACATAATTAATGAAGACACTTTACCTTACTGGACCTCCATGTTACAGGGGTACTGCTGAGGATCAAAAGCTTAAAGTTGATCAAGTGCTCTAACTTCCTTAAAGGAAGAGTGTTAGCTCAATACCAAAAGTCACCCTGAGCATGCAAAGCCCAACCCAATCGGTGGTATCTGTCAGGGAAAGGAGGCCAAACCAGATGTCCATGCCATTTGGAGGGAGTGGACACAATAAAATCCTTTCTCGGCTGGGCGCGGTGGCTCACACCTGTAATCCTAGCACTTTGGGAGGCCGAGGCGGGTGGATCAGGAGGTCAAGAGATCGAGACCATCCTGGTCAACAAGGTGAAACCCCGTCTCTACTAAAAATACAAAAATTAGCTGGGCATGGTGGTGCGCACCTGTAGTTCCAGCTACTTGGGAGGCTGAGGCAGGAGAACTGCCTGAACCCAGGAGGTGGAGGTTGCAGTGAGCCGAGATTGAGCCATTGCATTCTCGCAGTGTTCTCTGACTTAGAATAAAATTTGGAATTCTTGAAATTCACAAGAAGAGTTAAGTACTAGAAAAAAGACACGTTAGCCTCAAAGTTGTCCCTCAGGCCTGTACCCTTATGTCTTCTTCATTAAGTGCCTCTGCAGTGAACAGCTGAGGGAAGGCAACTGAGTCAGACTAGACCTGAAGCTACACCATAAGCTGCCTTTGGTGGCAACCAAGGCTTCTGCCCTGAGTCACAGAGAGGAAACCCATGAAACTAGGGCACGGGAAGACGAGTCATTTCCAGCGCTAGCCAAGGGGGAGGGCAGCTGAGCAAGCATGTCTGAGGCAGGAAAATGGTCTGGCTGCTTTACTGGTCCAGATGAGGTCACTGGATGGCCTCTAGGTTTGAGCTAGTTTCCTAGGTACCACAGTGGGAGTTGCTGGGCCCTTAACGACAGACAGATGGATGAATGGACCCCACTCCCATTTCTCTTCTTCTTTCCCTTCTCTTCTCTCTCCTTCCTCCCTGCCCCCAACGGCCAAGGACAACACTAAAATCAGTATCACAAGTCTGCTGTGGCACATGGCCAGGGAATGTGACTGTCAGAGGCAGCTCAGAGAGGACACAACTGGAAGAACGGGTGGTATGGAATTTTAGAACCACACTGCCTTAAACATTCTGCTCAAAGTCCCAGAATGGCTGCTCTGATGGGAGTTTTTTGAGAGATGGTCCCTCCCTGCATAGAGAATAAGAAATGGGTGAGGATGATACTGTCCTGGAGAGGCTCTAACTTTGGCAGCTCCTAGCGTCCTAAGCAAACAAGTCCTCCTCTGACAGAGGTCAAGCTATTAACATCTGTTTTCCCAGAATACTGGTGCCTGTGTTTGCTTTAAGATGCAAGGAACTAGTTAGGCATGGTGGCTCATGCCTGTAATCCTAGCACTTTGGGAGGCTGAGACAAGTGGATTGCCTGAGCTCAGGAGTTCTAGACCAGCCTGGGCAATATGGTGAAACCCCATCTCTACAAAAATACCAAAAAATCAGCTGGGCATGGTAGCAGATGTATGTAATTCCAGCTGCTTAGGAGGCTGAGGCATGAGAATTGCTTGAACCTGGGTGGCGGAGATTGTGCCATTGTGCTCCAGCCTGGATGACAGAGTGAAACTCCATCTCAAACAAACAAAAAAAGACACGAGGAATCACTGAAAATAACTATGAACTGTCCTTTGTGCTGGTGCCATCACATCGTTTCCCAGGACGTACGCTGCACAAGGAGCACTCTGCCGAGTGGAGCATTTGCACCGTAATCCAGCTGAGTAATTCCCAACCCCTGAACTACCTTGTTCTGAGAAATAGGTCAATATTATCCTCATTCTAGCTGGGGAAACTGAGGAACGAGAGCTCTTACCTGGACTTCGATGAGAGGCCAGTTTAGAACCCAATGCCGTCCCCATTTGGATCTTTTTGTCATTCTGCATAATAGCAGACATGCAAACGTAAACAGAGCAGACAAGATGCAACAGCCTTCTTTCAACCCCCCTGACCCACCTAGCACATCCAGGCCTTCAGGAGCCAGGCTGCGATCTGTCTGGGGATCATTCACTGATATCACAATTTTGAATTCTAAAATTCAAGTATTGTGAATTCTAAAATTCAAGTATTGTCAACACCTAAACCCTCAGACTCCTTGATGGTTTTCTACCTTCTCCAGCCCCTCTGGCTTTGCCAGGGGTTTCATCTACACCATCAGGCCACAGGATTCCTTTTTTCAATATAGAACACAGCTGGGTACAGTGCCTTACACCTATAATCCCAAAACTTTGAGAGGCTAAGGTAGGAGGATCACTTGAGACCAGGAGTTTGAGACTAGCCTAGGCAACATAGTAAGATCTCATCTTTACAAAAAATAGAAAAAATTAGCTGGGCATGGTGGTGCATGCCTATAGTCCCAGCTAATAGGGAGGCTGAGGTGGGAGGATCGCTTAAGCCCGGGAGGTTAAGACTGCAGAGAGCCATGGTCATGCCACGGCACTCCAGCCTGAGTGACAGAGCAAGACTCTGTTTCAATAAACAAATAAATAAGGAACACTTCACCAGTTTGCATGTTCTCCTTGAACAAGGGCCATGCAAATCTTCTCTGTATCATTGCAACTTTAGTATGTGCGCTGCCAAAATAAGCACAGGCCATAGGATTCGGATCTCATTTTGGAACTCATGGTCTCTAGGGTTCCAAACAAATCACCCCACTGGGCTGTACAACTGTCTCATCATCCAGGAGATGGGAGCAAACCATCCTAACTGATCCTGTATGGATTAAGAAACCACTAAAATAATGAATCATCCAGGCACCCAGCATCAGCACTTTGGGAGGCCGAGGCGGGTGGATCACGAGGTCAAGAGATCGAGACCATCCTGGTCAACATGGTGAAACCCCGTCTCTACTAAAAATACAAAAAATTAGTTGGGCATGGTAGTGCATGCCTGTAATCCCAGCTACTCAGGAGGCTGAGAGAGGAGAATTGCCTGAACCCAGGAGGTGGAGGTTGTGGTGAGCCGAGGTCACGCCATTGCACTCCAGCCTGGGTAACAAGAGCGAAACTCCGTCTCAAAAAAGAAAAAAAAAGCAGAGAGATTGCTCATCTTTTCCAGCCTAAACAGAGGGAAATAAAGGCTCTTCATTTAGGAGGCTAAGACTGAGGACAAAAACCAAGACGTCAAAGTTTGGAATAAACAGGGTAACTACAACGCTCACCTCTCATCCCAACTTCCTGCTCTTTAATTCTGGAGAGCTGGTGAACAGCAACCATTACTTTACCCTCGCTGTAAGCCAAATGGAACTAGCACCTCTTTTAACCTTCCAGCCCATTCTGTAAAGCAGATATTGCTATCCCTTACAGACAAGAGCACTAAGATTCGAATGGAACAAGCAGCTTGCATAAAGCCACATTGCTGGTGGTAAAAGAGATAAGGACTGAACTAAGGCCTTCTGATGCCAAGCCTGTACTCTGGCTACTATTCAACTCCTGTAGAGAAAAAACGGGCAGGCAGTACCTACTCATCCCAGGACGGGAAGGGGGAGTATGCACACTCCCTTTTTCTTGCTGCCAAATAGTATCTTCCTTAAGCACTCAGTTCCAAACACTTCCAATGTTCCATGTACACAACTCCCAAGAACAGTAAAGGCTGGCACTCTGACCCCAGAGGCCTCTGCCAAGCAAGCCCCTTTTAGAATCTGCAGTCAGCAGGTGACCTCATTGAAGAGTGTCACGTGTGAGGGTGACGGTCAGAGCCGGAAAAAGGGCAAACCAGCAGGGATCGCCTGCCTTTATCCCTCCTGAGTGCTTTGTTCCTCGGGCCTCAGAGAACAATCAGTAGTCACGCTCTGCTCCACTTGTCATTTTCACCCATGGTGTGAGTATACGTGTGACTAGATTTGTGTGTCCTTATCAGAAAACCAGCAGCTTTACATTCACACATGCAGAGTAAAGTCTTGAGCTCAGTGGACGCAGCACTCAGAGGGGTCTAGCACTTTCCAAAGATTCCTCTTCTGGCTTATGAGTCAACGTGCCAGTGCACAGTATCTTCAAAGGGGAAACTGAGGAATGCTATGGAAGAATCCCTACTCAGCCAGAGGGAGCTTGGAAACGACTCACTTTAAAACATGCACTTGTGTATTTTTCCACCCTGGTTTATAATGTTTTCCTACCTCTCACTATGGCTAGGGCGGAGAGCAACCCGTAGAAGCCATCTGTATTTTCCAGCAGACCAAACAGGAAGAGGCACAGAAATCTGCGCAAGTGACCACGCTGCCGCTGTTGCTAGGCAGCACGATTATGTCCATTCTCTGCTGCTTGGCAACCAGCATTTCCCATCACATATACACACAGCCATAGCAGCAGTACGGGTCCCCTTAACTGTTGCCTTACAGCTTTCAAAGAAAAGGGCTGAATCTCAAACTTATCAACATTAACAGACCCCCCTCAATATTCCACTGATATTGAGATGGCCCCCAGAGCACAATGGCCCTATTTAATCCCTTTGGTGACGCTTGAGTTTGCACCTGATGGTTGCACAAATCTTCTACTAGTGCACTGATGTGCCAGAGGGATGAGTAAAGATCTCGAGTCAGCGAGCTTGAACTTTTGGAGAAGAAAGCTTGTTCTGTCTGCCCCCATACCTCTGAAGAACTGACTGGTGAAATAATCTGCTCCCCAGGACCCGCCATCTAGTGAACTAGGACAAAATAAAGGCTACATACCTTAAATGGTGATGTTTCTTTCTGTGGTCCCCAACCAAATGTCAGTGGAACTTGGCAGGCCTCTCCTCACTGACAGCAAACTTGTCCCAAAATCATCCTAACCTCGTTGGTCACAATCTGTCACTCCTCAGCAGCAGGGCCAAAGTCATCAACTTACTGAGCAAATCAAATAGCTGCCCTATTGAATAACAGGACTCCCTCACCCTGCCTTCCGCCTTTGGTCGATTAAAAAAAAAAATAACAGATACCCAAAGCCCCACAGGAAGTTAGCATCCCAGTAGGCACTTGACTCAGGAGCCCCCTGGCTTATAATCAACATCCTCAGCTACCGTATGACCAGCCACATTGCTTTCAGGCTAGGCCCACATAAGAATCATGTTAACCCATTTTTTCTTTCAGTTTTACTTCGGTCCAATTTTTTTTTTTTTTTTTTTTGAGACATAATTTCACTCTTGTTGCCCAGGCTGGAGTGCAATGGCACAATCTCAGCTCACTACAACCTCTGCTTCCCAGGTTCAAGTGATTCTTCTGCCTCAGCCTCCCAAGTAGCTGGGATTATAGGCATGCACCATCACGCCTGGCTAATTTTGTATTTTTCGTAGAGATGGGTTTCTCCATGTTGGTCAGGCTGGTCTTGAACTCCCGACCTCAGGTGATCCACCTGCCTCGGCCTCCCAAAGTGCCAGGATTACAAGCATGAGTGGTCCAACTTTTTAATATGTTAACTTTTCAAATGATTCCTTTAGAAGGCACTATATAGAGTTTGGCTCTGCCTATCAGGGAAAGCAGTCTGTTAATAGTAACAAGGGCATATGCATTTTCTTCTAAACCTCTCCATAGGATTTGACAAAATTCTCCAAGCATCGTTCCGATTAGAGTCTGAATTCAGTGAGATCATCCAAAGTGATAACCACATTGCTATTTCATTTTCTTCTCGGCCCCAGCTGGAGAGTTTTTCCCCTCATTAAAATTAACGAGGCCGGTTTCCCAAGCTCAAGATACTAAGCACTCCTGTTGGTGGAGCTTTGTTTCTTAAATGGAGCTACATTTCTGTAAGTGCAAAGTCATACTAAGCGTCATTTACTTTACTGCTGTGTAATAAGAAACCAAAATGGAAATCCTAAGCTATCCTCCCACCATAGCTTACACTTCAGTGGCCACATGCAAACACACACAAACCACATATCCCCATGGTTTCTCCCCATTCTGGCCACAAAAGAAACCTCACCACAGTTTACAATCAGCAGTTTGGTAGAAAATATAAAAACTTGAGGTCTTCTGGCCGGGCACTGGGCTCATGCCTGTAATCCCAGCACTTTGGGAGGCCGAGGCCGGCAGATCACCTGAGGTCAGGAGATCGAGACCAGCCTCACCAACATGAAGAAACCCAGTCTCTACTAAAAATACAAAATTAACTGGACGTGGTGGTACATGCCTATAATCCCAGCTACTCGGGAGGCTGAAGCAGGAGAATTGCTTGGACCCGAGAGGCGGAGGTTGCAGTGAGCCACGATTGTGGCGTTGCACTCCAGCCTGGGCAACAACAGCAAAACTCCATCTCAAAAAAAAAAAAAAAACACTCAGGCCTTCTAAGTGGCCAAGGACTCTAGTGTTATAGCCAATTTGAGAAGAAAGTTGCAGTCTCCCTGGGCATCTGACAAAGCCATGATGAGAAGTGGAGAAGATTTCGGTCTCCTTCTCAAGGTCCTCTCTGCAGCCAGCAACAAGGTGACTAGATATCCAAAGTGCGGCGTGGCCTCAGTAGTCATAAAACATCCCAACCCCACCAAAAAGCAAGAAGATACACTACGTCAGAAAGTAAAAACTGTGCTTCCTATTACAACTCCGGTGAAAGGGAACAGGAGAAAATGATAAAAATAAAAAGCCAATTTCATAAATGAGGTGGAAAGGCACTCCACAAGGCAACTAAAAATATACACTTCCACATACAACAAACAAGCTGGGCTCATGCACCTTGGTCCAAGCTGAAATCAAACGCTTTCAAGATGGTCATGTAGAAATGAAAATAGCCTTGTTCAGACTTACTCTTTCAGTCATCCTTTCAACATCCTTCTCCTTGGTTAACCCAAGAAACAGTTCCCCCACGCCCGCCTCCATCTCTATAGACCTGAGTTTCAATATCACTAAAATCTAACTGTAACTGAGATCAAAAGGAGAAAGAGAGAGAGAGAGAGAGAGAGAGAGAGAGAGAGAGAGAGAGAAATGCTGGGGCCAGAACTAAAGCCTGGGAGGAGATGCCCACTGACTCTAGGCCACCAGATTTGTCAAGGCCCATTTACCCAGGCCAGCCAGGGACCCGGGAGCTTGCAACGCCCATTGTTGGCTGATCAAAGTCCAATCAGAAAGTAAAGGAGGAGCCCAGCCAGCCTCATGTGATCCAGCACAGGAAGCCAAGTCTAAAGCTCTGCTGGTGAATAAGGTACACCAAGACATCTTTACTGAGCTTGCCACAGAGAGAGAGGAGAGAGAGAGAACAAGCCAGAGAGAAGGGAGTCTATTTGAAGCTGCATCCTAATGAACCTTAATAAGTTAATGCAGAAATCCTCCCAAGGAGTCTGGCTATAGGAGACACCGGTCTCTACCGAATCAAAATCTGTTATGTTGTAATATAATAGATGTAAATTAAAACAGAAAATCTATCATGCCTCTAATGTACCCTGATAGCTGAGTGTGTGGATCCGTCCGAGGAGAGGCACAGGAGGAAGGGTGATATATGGCGAGGCTGGATGGAGGGTGAAAAGCGTGGCGAGACGAGCGGGAGAATGGCGCAGCCCGCGCACGCCTCAGACCCAAGGGCAAGAGACGAATAAATGTTGATTAGTGTTGATTTTGTCCGACAAACGCCTGTCGAGTGACAGTTGGGCTAAGCTGCACTGAAAGAGAACCATTAATCTTGGTCTGG